TACTATTCTTCCTGATGCAAAAAAAACAAAATTTTTAACCAAAATTTCGAACGCTCTGAAAAGGATAAAAAATATACTTTTATAATAATAAAAAAACCCATTGATCTTTCGTCGTAATAATAACATAATAGCATAATAATAGCATTATAATAACAACATAATAATGACATAATGATAATGACATAATAATAACATAATAGCATAATAATAGCATTATAATAACAACATAATAATGACATAATGATAATGACATAATAATAACATAATAGCATAATAATAGCATTATAATAACAACATAATAATGACATAATCATAATGACATAATAATAACATAATAGCATAATAATAGCATAATAACAACATAATAATGACATAATCATAATGACATAATAATAACATAATAGCATAATAATAACATAACATAATAGCATAATAATCTTAATGATAAAACTTTTTTCAGCATTTTTCATCGTGTAGGCTCATTTGTAGTGAATCTTTGGAGGTAAAAGATGCACACATACACACAAACATATATATATATATATATATATATATATATATATATATATATATATATAGGGTGGAGTAGGTTTACTGTTGTTCAACTGTTTCACGTTTTAGATCACAGTTCAGAATCAGTGTTAACTTCAGTTAACTGTTCTTTCAGCAAGATGGCGCTCATCCCCATTATGCTTTGCCACTAAGAGACTACCTTAACCAAACCATTCCACAGCATTGGTTCAGAAGAAGGGGCAGCATCGTATGGCGACCTCGTTCACCTGACCTAACACCAATGGATTTCGTTTTTGAGGTTTATGACAAAAAGTAAACTGACATGTAAAAAATAATTCAATAAAATACACTTGTTTTTAATAATTTTTAATAAAATAAATCGTAATTCAATTTATTTTTTAATAAAGTAAATCGACATTCTAAAAGATTTTATTTATTGAATTATTTTTTATACGTCAATTTACTTTATTAAAAAAATAAATTTCTTTACGATTTACTTTATTAAAAATAATTAAAAACAAAACAAATTGTTCATATTTTACATAATATTTTGCATACACAAAAATATCTTGAAATACTAAAGAGTAAATTTATTCAATAAAATCGCCATTGGCTTCAACCACAGCCTCCAGACGACTTCAGGAACCCTTTCAACTCTTCTGGGCGGTCTTCTTGTTTAAGTTGGTGAATGCTGCCATAATCCTTGCTTTTAGTTCATCTTTGAAGTTACATGGAGTTTTGTTGGTCTCTCGTTCAACTGCGCCCCGCACATAATATTCAAAGGGGTTACAGTCTGGAGAGTTTGGTGGCCAGGTGTAAGAGGTGATGTCGTCGCCGAAATTGTTTGAGAGCCATGACTGGATTCTCCTGTGTGTGTGGCATGGTGCAAAGTCCTGCAGCCACCCATTTGACCCATGGCAGCACTACCTCCACAAGGCACTATGTTGAGTCTGAGGCCCTGTAGGAAGGGATAACAATCTCTAGCAATCTCTCCAAACATCATGATGCTGACTGGATATATCATCCAACTCTATCCGAATGCCATGTAACTGTCTTCAGATTGACACTCAAACATTCTGAAATGTTCATATTGAAGCTTCCGGCGCGGATGTTAAGCAGTACATCATGCGGTTTGTAAATTTCTGGCGGAGTGAATTGCGTTATGGTGCCCAACAATTAAAAATAAACAACGCGCATGCGCGAAATTAAAAATATAAAATGGCAACAATTTCCTCATCCAACACTGTACATGTACAAGCGCACATAAACACACACATACATACATTCATATACACACACACAAAGAGGCAAAAATCAAGCTAACACCAATAATAAGATCATCCTAACTCGCGCATAAATTAATTACATCAAAATTAGTTAAACGGCAGTCAATTGCTAAAACCTCCTGATGAATGGACTGAACATTTACAGAAATGTTCGTCTATCACTCCTATATATATATATATATATATATATATATATATATATGTTGTTTCTATGTAAGAACTTTTTCTTAGTTTTATATCATCTGATTAGTTACTATCGTGATGTTGAGCGCCAATTATTTTGTCAAAATCGATCGTATCTTGTTCGTTTTCTCAATAGACCAGATTGATTTGCTTTCTAGCCAACCAGTCTTGATCTTTCTCCTGTTTTCTATGTTGCTGAAATTATTTTATTCTGTTGATCATCATTAACTTTTCTTTTTAATTTTTCCTTTTTTTTTCTCTTTCGTTTTCTTTTTCTATCTTTCTTCCTCTCACTTTCTCTCCTTTTCTCCCTGTCGGTTTATACCCCTCCCTGTAGATTCAATGTTTTTTTCTCGTTTCCTTTCTTTTTCAAAGACTCTCATTCCAAGTTCCTTTTCTTTCTTTCTTTTTTTCTTTCTTTCTTTCTTTCTTTCTTTCTTTCTTTCTTTCTTTCTTTTCATCTTCATTTTTTGTATGTATTCAAAACGCGTCCTCCTCCTCTTCCTCCTCCTCCTCCCATTTCTGGTCCCCCGTCCCCACCTCTCTTTTCCCCCCATTTCCTTCTTTGCTCTTTCTGGCTGTTTCTCTCTCGTCTCTTCTATTTGCCGCCATTGCTCGGATCTTATTGTGGCTCAACGAACCATCCATTTCCTTCGTTTGCATTCATTCTTATTGTCCAACTTTTTATGTGTCTTATTTCCGTTCAAGCGCTGCCTATTCTGACTCCTACTTCGTTCCATCATCAACACTCACCCACCCAAACACTTCTCCATCGCTGCTGAATTCTAACAGAGACGCACACGGACAAATCAACCGACACACAACCTAGTAAACCAAGAAGAATATCACTCTTGCTCTCACCTTTTTCCGATCGACGCATTCTCTTAAAAAAAAGGAAAATGTCATAAACGCCAAATTTAGTCGACCAATCAGAATCATCGTTGCAATCACCACTATCATCATTATCATCATTATCATCATCACCACCATCATTAGCACTACTACCACCACCACTATCATCATCATCAACACCACCACCACCACCGACATCACCATCACTATCACCACCTCCACAAACATCAGTAGCAGCAACACTGCCATCATCATCATCACCACAACCACTATCATCCTCATCACCCCTACCACAGCCCCTACTCCATCATCATCATCACCACCACGATCATCATCAATACCACTACTAATACCACCACCATCATCATCATCATCAACACCACCATTACTACTACCATCATATCCTTCATCATCATCATCATCAACACTGCCACTACCACAATCACCACCACCATCATGATGGCCACCACCGCCACCACTGTCATAGCCAGCACCATTATCATCATCAGGGATTGTAAAATTTCTTCTCAACATAGCCTTCTCTTTTATTTCTCTTCTACGTTCTCTGAATTTCGCAGTGACGTTTCCACGTTGCCATTATAAGCAACGTTTCTTTAGTTCCTTCGCCGTTTTCATTAACGCCATTCATAAAATGAATGTTCCAAAGCACGGACTCCACATTCGGCTTTTACTCATTTTCGATCATTTTTTTTTTAACAGCCATCAATCTCACAACAGTTGCCACAATCGGGGGACATACAAACATCATTATGATCATTATCATCAGCAGCAACATCATTATCATCATCATCATCAGTAGCAACAGCAACATCACCATCATCATTATCATGGATACTCGTACTTGAAACAGACGCTCCGTTTTAATTTTAAACAGTGGGCATTTCATCTACTGGCCTGCGTGTTCTTTAAGTATGGATTTTACAAAAGTTTTTGATATAATAAAGTTTGTTTGACGTGTTTATTGATGGCAAAATATTTATCAAAAATCCCTCTATGCATTTCCTACATAATGAATTATGTTCTTTTCTAATTAAAGTAACATTTTTAAAATCGAAATTATGGCCTGTTTCCTTGTATATTACGAGCGAGTTTAAAGGATCAAACACACTTTACGATATCACGAACTTTTAGAAAAATCCATACTTAAAGAATCTAGGATATTTCTACCTTCAACGATAACCACAACCGGTGTAACTGAAATTCTTTCCCCTTCACACAAAACGTGCCCAAATCAATAGGCGGGCAACTATCAAACATGAATAAAAATGCCGACTACTTACACACAAACGAATACCCACTATCAACTGAATCCCGCACAGAAAAATTAGAATTATGATACACATATGCACATATGAATTATACACACGAACGTTGCTTGGCAGGACAGGTGAACGTGAGGTCTACTTAACCAATGAAAAACGAACAACACATAAACAAAAATACCAGAGTTCTTTTTCTTCTCTATAACTGATTTTCTGATAAAGGCGAAACATGTTGAATTTATGAACGTCTCCTATTTATTCCTTATTCTAACATTCTGTCATATTCCAATCCAAAATGTATATCTATTTGAAACCAATTCATTGATTATTATTATTATTTTGTTTCCTTTGATTTCTGGTGTGTACACAGTTCTTTTCGTCTCCCCACCAGAGGCCTAAAGTCAGAAATTGCATTATGACATTTTTCACTGAGCAATTAAAAAAAAAATCACACACATTTTACATAAATAAAGTCCTTCCTAAGGTATGGGGTGTATTATTATTATTATTATTATTATTTCAAATGTTACTTTAATGGATACCCATATTTGAGCAAAACTTAATAAAGGAAATGTGAAGTTTTCTTGGGTGTGAGGTCCAGCAGAAGTAATATAAACTGTTAAAAAAAAAAAACGGTGTGTCTATTTAAACACGGATATCCACTAAAAATAAAGTGTGAAGTAATAAAAATGTTGGATAAAAATATATATCCATTATATATATATATATATATATATATATATATATTGTATATTAGGATAAAAATTGTGTCAGTCTGAGTTTAGCGCCAAGGCCCTGGAGGACTGACTGTTAATAACTGCCTTCATAGACCTACCAGTTATGAAAGAATTTATAATTGAGAAGACCTTTTTCGAAATATCTAATGCCGTGGTCTTTTATATTAAAGTATATATCTAACTCAATCTGGTCGTCACTATCTATCTATCTATCTATCTATCCCACAACCTGTTCATATATATATATATATATATATATATATATATAACCTGTTCATATCTATCTATCTATCTATCTATCTATCTCATTCTCTTCAAATCTGTCGAAATTATTAAGGAAAGGAAGCGGGAAGACTATTCTTTTTTCTTATGATGATAGTGATGATATTTTTTTACCTGATGTCATATTCTATTAGCATCTTTGCACTAGTCACATCTTTTATATATCTAGATCTCTTTGCATTAATATTTGGTATTCCCCAAGACTCCATTCTTGGAACCTCGTTGTTCGTAATTTTCATGAACAACCTTCATGATGCCATCAGTTCTCAGTTCGGTATCTAGGCTGATTACACGATTATTTAACTATTTACTCCTGTCTTAATAAGTAAATCTAATTGGTTCGATAGGGTTAAATTGGCAGCTGATCTCAAAAATGACAATCGGTTGTTAAATGGAGCAAAAAATGGCTTGCTAATAACTTCAAAACCACACTGTTCTCTTTTAATTGTCTGAAACAGCCTTTTCTGCCTACAAAGCTGATACAAACCTTATTCTGATGAATTTACTTCTATGGCCATAAACTTTATTAATTTAAGCGTAGTACTATATTGGAGCAAGCTCTTATCAATTCACAATTGAATTGGCTAACCCTAATTTATTTGCTAATAGTTTTTTTTTCTCGCACTTCTCGCTTGTGAAACTCTCTTCTGGCTTCTTTCTTTCCAGTCAGCTTTGATTTTCAAAAATTTAAGTGCAATATAAACTGTTATCTACTGTCTTTTTGATTCCTGTTCTTTTATTGTTCTCTCTTCTTAATAAGTTTTTCCCATATTCTCTCACACCCAGTAACCCCTTGGGTCTTAGTGGTTGTGTTGTCTTACTTAGGGCAAAATGAAAAAAAAATCTTGATTTCATTAGGGATCGAGTGACTTTATGTTTCCTCAATTGTTACGCGTGTTAAGTGTTCGAAGAAGTAGTACTCAAGATAAAACTTTCCAAAATACAAACTATGACCGTCCTGGGTGAGACGATAAGCTACATCCGCCGTCCTGGGTGAGACGATAAGCTACATCCGCCGTCCTGGGTGAGACGATAAGCTACATCCGCCGTCCTGGGTAAGACGATAAACTACATCCGCGTCCTGGGTAAGACGATAAAATACATCTGACAGCAAGGCCTTTGATCAGAAGGTTTTGAGGAGCGTGGAACCACCTCTTAATTGCTGGTGTTCGACTCTGACCCGGGGTGGTAGCACCTGTTAGGTTTTTAGCTATTGGCAAATAGTCAACACCCAAAATGTGGTTAAAATACTATGAAAGTGTATAAATAGGTTTTAGTTTGGTTGATTGGTTGTGTTTTATGGCATATCAACCACTGTGGGTCATTTAATGCCAAATTAAGGTATATATATATATATATATATATATATATATATATATATATATATATATATATATATATACATACACACACATATACATATATATACATATACATACATACACATATACCTATATATATATTAAATATTAAGGTATATATATATATATATACTATTAAACATATAGCTGGCAACATTATTTTTTCAAAAACGCATAGCTGGCAACACGGTTTCAAAAACACATAGCTGGCAACCTTATTTTTTCAAAAACGTATAGCTGGCAACATTATTGTTTCAAAAACGCATACCTGGCAACATTACTTTTTCCAAAAAACGTATAGCTAGCAACATTGTTGTTTCAAAAATGCATAGCTGACAACCTTGTTTTTCCAAAAAACGTATAGCTGGCAACATTATTTTTTCAAAAACATATAGCTGGCAACATTGTTTCAAAAACTCATAGCTGGCAACATTATTTTTTCAAAAACATATAGCTGGCAACATTGCTGTTTCAAAAACACATAGCTGGTAACACTACTGTTTCAAAAACGCATAGCTGGCAACATTATTTTTTCCAAAAAACGTATAGCTGGCACCATTATTGTTTCAAGAACGCATACCTGGCAATAATTATTTTTCCAAAAAAAACGTATCGCTGGCAACATTATTTTTCCAAAAAACTTATAGCTGGCAACATTATTTTTCCGAAAGCATTATCTGAGGCCTTGTTGTTGGACGTAGTTTATCGTCATACCCAGGACGCGGACGTAGTTTATCGTCATACCCAGGACGCGGACGTTGTTTATCGTCATACCCAGGACGGAAACAGGTTTTAGTACCAGCAATACATTATTACCAGCCATGAATTTTTGAAGGAAAAAAATTATTAGCAGCAATACATTTTTGAAAAAAATATTACCAGCAATAAAAATATTGTCGGCATTAAATAACCCACTGAGGTTGATATGCCGTAAAAACAAACCAAGCGAAACCAAAGCAAACCAAACCAAATCAAAACCAAACCAAACCAAACCAAACCAAACAAAATATGATCTGGAATTGGATTGAAAGAAATAATATTATCTACACTGAATGAATCATATAAATTACAAATGTGGAATTACTAAATGAGAAATGCTTCAAATACACCAGCGTCTGGATCTTTGTAACATTTAGTATAGGAGACCAGAAATAAATTTGAGTCATATTCGTAAAAGGCCTCGTCAGGTCATCCAATCCGTTCAGAAATATCTAAAATTTCAACTGTCTACAATCGTTTCCTCAGATTAATGATTGAAAATGGCTATTATTTGAACTCTGTAGACTGGCGCTACAGAATCCCTAACAAAAAAATGTACTGTCTCTGTTCTATCTCTGAAGTGATTATGATTATTTACATTATTCAGACTGTTAACCTCATCTTCATTGCCACATTCACAATGTTTCGGACGATGCACGCTTCGGCCTTCTTCGAAATTCGAATCACCTGAAGAAAAGCCGTGGCGTACAACGGCCGAAACGTTGGGAGTACGGCAATGAAGATGAGGATAGCAGTCCGAATAATGTAAAGAGAGAATTGTACTAAATGTCAGAAACCATACTACCTGAAGAATTTCAACTAAAGTCGATAGCAAATATGAATCGAAGAGAAAATAATGACATAATCATGATGTTGATGTTCCACAAAACTCCAAACAAAAGGTTAGGAAGGAAACCCCCATCAATACTGGAAAGAGTGATAGCATTTGGTGGACTTGAGAAACAAGTTTTCCTGAAGAATGGTTTTAATAGAAACATTTTATACATTAGTATCGCTGGTTATTCGTAAATGAGTGCTGAATGTTTCCTTATAAGGAAACGGCTTCTATTACCATTATTATTGCCTTCATCACGGATAGGGTCAATTTTTCTAATATGTTATTATTATTATTATTATTATTATTATTATTATTATTTCCTTTCAATAAACCGTTGTCCTATATTTGGTGAGTAATAGAAAGGAAATTGCCAGCTCCCGCCCACAGTACGACACCAGCCTCTTCGCCGCTGCTACTTTCTGTAAAGCAAGGCGGAGTAAATATGTTCATTAGAGGCCAAAGAAAAAAAAGGGGGAGGTGGACGGGAAAATAGTAGGAGGAGAAGAATGTGGTAAGAAAGGTTTAAAAAACAAAGCAGCACCAATGTATTTTTTATACTTTCAATAATGCCGTCATTAATTCGGTCATGGAACTCAGACTTTCCAACATCGACTTTTGATATCGTCGTTGATTTATTTTGATTTAACTCTTTTTATTTTCATCTTTTTTTTGCCGTTTTTACTTCAATTTTCTTTCTTTCATTTTTCAGCCACCCCCTCCTTAACTACATTCTACCTTTCTTTCTAATTTTAGCTAAATTATATCACTCTTTCTTTCTTTAACTGAAATATGTTTTTCTTTCTTTCTTTTTGTATTTGAATTATGATTATCATTCTTTCTTTCTTGATTTCTTTCTTTATCTCAATTATATATTGTTCTTTTTTCATTCATTCATTCATTCATTTCTTTTTTTCTTTCTTTCTTTCTGTAACTGAATTATGACTTTCTCCAACTCTTTATTTCTTTCGTTATGCCAATTATATATCTCTTTCTTTCTTTAACACAGTTTACATATTGATCTTTCTTTTTTTCTTTCTTTCTTTCTTTCTTTCTTTCTTTCTTTCTGTAACTAAATTGTGACTCTCTTTGTTTGTTTGTTTCTTTCTTTCTTTCCTTATCTTAATTATATCTCTCTCACTTTCTTTAGACCAATTATATATTATTTTTTCATTCATTCATTCTTCCTTCCTTTCTTTCTTTTTTCTTTCTTTACTCCTTTATTTTTTCCTTTCTTGATTTCTTCTTTTCTTTAGCCAAGTTATATATTGTCATTTCATTCTTTCTTACTCTTTCTTTCTTTTTCTTTCTTTAACTTTCTTTTAACTGTCTTTCTTTCTTTCTTTCTTTCTTTCTTTCTTTCTTTCTTTCTTTCTTTCTTTCTTTCTTTCTTTAGCCCAATTATGTTTCTCACTCTTACAAGCTATTATTCAGTTTTTCTTTGATCGAATTATCTCCCTCTTCCACCGTCTTTCATCTTTGTATCTTTTTTTCGAATTATATGTCTCTTTTTCTCGCTTGGTCTTTTTCTTTAGCCAAATCATGCTTCTTTCTATTTCTTGTTGTCATTCCATAGCCGATTTATGCCCTTGTCTTTCTTTTTTTTGTCTTTCTTTTTTCTTTCTTTCTTTTTTCTTTTTCGCAATTATGTCTTTTTCTTTCTTGCTTTCATTCTTGATCCGAATTATGTGTTTCCTTCTATCTTTGCGAATTATGTACCCTTTCTTGATACAAATTATGTCTCACACTTTCATTCTTGCTGGTTTTCTCTTGCTAAATTATATATATATATATATATATATATATATATATATATATATATATATATATATATATATATATATATATCTCTCTCTTATTTCCATTTCCATTTGTTTCTTTCTTTCGGTTTTCCTGTCTTTCTTTTGTTAGCGAATTATATGTCTCCCTTTGTTTCTTGCTATTTTTCTTGATCCCAATTGTGTCTCTTTTTCTTTTTTGCTCTTTTTCCTTAGTCGAGTTATGTCCCTCTCTTTCTTTCTTTCTTTCTTTCTTTCTTTCTTTCTTTCTTTGTCGCAATAATGTCTTTCTCTTTCTTTCTTTCATCCTTGAACCGAATTATCTTTCTTTCTTTCTTTTTTTCTTTCTTTCTTTCTGTCTTATACCGAATTATGTCCCTCTCTCTCTTTTCTGTCCTTTTTTGTTTGTTTCTTTTTCACTTCCTTCTAGTAGCCGAATTACATCTTTTTTGAGTCGGACCATTTTTCTGTTTGGAATGTTAGTTTGTTGTCTTTAGCTGAATTTTGTCTTTCTTTCCTTCTCTCCTTAACTACATGAAGTCGCTCACTCTCTTTCCTCCTCCCTTTATCCAAACTATATCTGTCTTTCTCTTTCCTTCTCCTTTAACTAGCACTTCTTTCTTTCTTTCTTTTTTACCCCCCCCCCCTGTATATTCTTTCTTTTTTGGTAATCTTCAAATCTTGTCACTTTAAATTCCACATCACCCCCACCCCTAAACGGCCAAACTAACCCCTCTCAATATTTGTATGCATAAAATTCTTCTTGAATTTCAACCATCTGTTTTTTTTTTTCAAATTCTGTCTTGAATGTTTGTCTTTATTTTATCTAGAAAACATTTTTTTCTTCGATTCCCGCTTAAAATGTGACTTACAGATTCGCATCTGTTACAATGGACATTTAAAAAATAAACGATGCATAAGCAAAATCGCCCGAGTTCTTATACATGAATGCCTGTTCATGTCCAAGAATTCCTAATTTTCTTTAAAACGGAAAAAAAAAAAGACTTTGACATCAGTTTTCAAGAAATGCATTCAAGCAGCTTGGATAAAAGGGAGAATGTTAATATTACGAGTCACAACATAAATACACTTGTAGATATATACTTATATACGTATTTGAACAAATATTCTAATATAAAAGAAGAAGAGGAGGAGGAGGAAGAAGAAGAAAGGAAAAGGAGAGGGAGAAGAACAAGAACAATAAGAAAAAAGGAGAGAAAGAAGAGGAGGAGGAGAAGAAGAAAAAGAAGAAAAGAGAGGAAGAAGGAGAAGAGCAAGAACAAGAACAAGAACAAAAAGAAAAAAGGAGACGAAGAAGATTAAGAAAAGGAGAGAGAGAAGAAGAAGAGGCGGAAGAATAGAGGAAAGGGAGAAGGAGAAGAACAAGAAGAGAAAAAGAGAAGAAGAAGAAGAAGAAGAAAAGAGAGGGAGAAGTAGAAGAATAAGAATAAGAAGAACAAAAAAAAGAGGAGGGGAAGAAGAAAAAGAAGAAAAGAGAGGGCGAAGAAGAAGAGGCGGAAGAATAGAGGAAAGAGAGAAAGAGAACAAGAAGAGAAAAAGAGAAGAAGAAGAAGAAGAAGAAGAAGAGGAGGGGAAGAATAAATAGAAGAAGAAAGGAGAGGGAGAAGTAGAAGAATAAGAAGAACAAGAAGAAAAAGGTATGGAGGGGAAGAAGAAAAAGAAGAAGAAGAAAGGAGGCGGAAGAATAGAGGAAAGAGGGAATAACAAGAACAAGAAAAGAAGAAAAAAGGAGAGAAAGAAGAAGAGGAGGGGAGGGACGTAGAAGAAGAAAAGTGGAGAAGAAGAAGAAAAAGAAAAGAGGGTGAGAAAAAAGGAGAGGGAGAAGAAGAAGAAGAAAAAAAATAGAGAATTGTTAATTTTAACGCTTTTAAAAATAACCTAAATGCAAAAAGCTACCTATTGACTAAAGAAAAGTGCCCAGCGCCTTGATTACATAGACAGTACAAAAATACCTCACAGCCTTAACTCCTATCAAAGAACGGCCCTTTTTTATTCGACTTTTATGTTGATGCGACCTTCAGATTACTAGAACGTCTTACAGTTACGGGATATATATATATATATATATATATATATATATATATATATATAACCGAATGGGTAGGTATACGAGCGAACGACCGTATACAAATACATATAAATACTCTACAGTGTAAGAAAGTTGTGCTAAAAACATCGACCAGTAAATAGTTCGGCACAACAATTCCATTCTAAAAAAGCATTTCAACAACCTTCGAAGTAACAACATCCCCGTAGCTAATAACTGCAATTGCAGAAATAGCAAATCCTGCCCATTAAACGGTAAATGTATGTCCAAATCGTTATTTTATAAAGCTGAAATCAAATAGGGCGACGAGGTCAAGTTTTACGTGAGCTCACAGAAAATAATTGGCAATCCCGCTTCTACCATCACCGAATGACATTTGGCAATATCAAATATCTAAACAGCCCTGTCCTCTCTAAATTTTTCTGGAAGCTCAAAAGCAAGAATAAAAAAAAACAATTATCTCTTGGGAATTAGTTGCGAAATTTAAGTCATTCAACGGAAAACGCAATAAATGTAACTTATGTTTCTCTGAAAAACTAATAATCCCAAAAATATAAAAAATCCTAACCTCTTCAATAAAAGCAGTGAGTTGATTACTAACTGCCTACATAGACCAAGTTTCTACTCAAACACGTTGACACAGATTAATATAGTCTACCTGGACCAGGCACCAACATCTACTTGTGTTGATATTATTTTTTTTTCTCTAACTACCTTTATTGTACAACTATTGTTAAGTTTAGACGATAACGCATTTAACACATTTGTCTTTCCATTCTTTTTGCATTATCTTACCATTACCATTTTTTGTTTATAACTAAAGAGAGTTCCAATAAGTTGGACCGATTTTAAATGTGAATAAAGTTTAAGGATTTAATGATGTTTTTCTGACACACTTTTTACTATTTTTACTTTTTGCTTTATTTGATATCCCTTTTATTTTTTCACATTTAGCCTTAAGATCAGGAAAATGTTTGTTTATTTATTTACCTACTCGTATTTATTATCTTTTAATTATTAACTACTAGCAGTAGAGTCCGGCGTTGCCCGGGGATGTAACAGTAAGAGATAGATCAAGTATCGACCATCATAAAGACTGAAAAAATAAAATTGACAATAGATTATTGTTTAAGGTTGACGGACACGCATGTCTTAATTAGTTTTTTTTTTTTTTTTTTTTGACGAATTGGTCAAACCCAAACTCAAACAAAAACATTGTTTTCAATCGTTATGAGTCTACCGATTGAATATAATTTTATTGTAAACAATTGTCTTGTAAATGGAATTTTAAAAGCATTCTGAATGTAAAAATAAAGAAAAAAGTGTGCAAGACAATAAGAAACACTACCTACCAAAAAAAAGTGAAGTTTTGTTGAAATCGTTTGAAAAATGTAGGAAATCCGATCCCATATATAAACGAACACACACACACACACACACACACTGGGTTTTATAATAAGTATAACTCGATATGACTTGTCCCTCTTTCATTCTCGCGACAGCGATGCCTCTTAATCGTATTTTCAAATTGATTTCGTGCAAAAACAATTGTTTTTCCAATTTTTGGCGCTGTCTGAACCACCGAAAGGTAATTTTACGTAGTCCTGTTGAGTTTTGTTGAAATTGGTTGAAAAATGTAGGAAATCCGATCCAATATATAAACGTACAGACACACACACACACACACACACACAACCTGGGTTTTATAATAAGTATGATTCATTTAGTTACCTTGTTTATTTATCTAATTATTTGCATGTTTTTAAGTTGCTATGAATGGCTTTCATTTTATTTTATTCTATTTTATTTTATTTTAACTTATTTTATTGCGGCATATCTTATTATTTTATCATTACTGTTATCCCAACTTTTGTGTTTTTAAGAATATTAATGTTGATAATAATTTCATTATTAATTAGTCTATTGATTCCTGGATAAAATTAGAGTTATCCCCCCTTTGATTTTATAACACCATTTCTAATTGTTATACCAGCGTCTCGCTATATTAGAACTTAATTTTTTTATTTTTCATTTCCAACCTTCTTTTCAATCTTAAATGTTGTTCTGAGCCAAACTCAAAATTCAAAACCAACATTTTACGTATTTATTTGCATATTTATATGTTTCTATATAAGGCTTTTATTGCATTTTACTTTATTTTTCTTATTTTATTTTTTTTTATATTTTATTATTATTTTCTTTCCATTGATAAATACTATTAATTTTATTATTATTAATACTTGTGCTTTATTATGCCTTATTTCATCTTATTTTATAGTATATTTTATAGTATATTATTTTATATTATTCTATATTATTGTATATTACTGTATATTATTTTATTTTATTTTATCCCCTGTACAGCTTCACCGACTGCTATCTAAACTAAACTCAAAACACCCATTCCGATACAGTCAATCTAGGGCCGTGTAGGACTGACAAGATTTTTGTATATATATATATATATATATATATATATATATATATATATATATATATATATATATATATATATATATATATATGTAAATACACTCGTCTCGAAAACCTTCGGTTTCTTGATTTGCTTATGATCAAATCAATTTCAAAGGAAAAAAGATTTTAAAAAAGAAAGTGCTAGGAACATGAACGTCTGTCGAAAATAATCGTACAGCATACAGGTCCAAAGCCCAAAGAAAAAACCCTGATACGAGTAATCAACTAACTCAAAAAGTGCTCAATACAAAAGTAGAGCAGACCTAGTCAAACCTAGAGAGCCAGACAAACCTACCAAGGTTTCACCTAAGCGGATCGTCAGGAAAGGCTTTCACCTAAGCGGATCGTCAGGAAAGGCTTTCACCTAAGCGGATCGTCAGGAAAGGCTTTCACCTAAGCGGATCGTCAGGAAAGGCTTTCACCTAAGCGGATCGTCGGGGAAGCCTTCCTGACGATCCACTTAGGTGAAACCTTGTAGACATTTTATTTGATAAACTCCAACAGTTGAATTGTTATTTATTTTATTTTTAATCCTAATTATATCTCATATATATATATATATATATATATATATATATATATATATATATATATATATATATATTCTTTTTAAAATATGATTCCATCGCGACAAAGCACAGAAATTACTATGTTTCGAAACTGAAACTCAAGTTCTAAAATTAATTTCAAAATTAAGCTTAAAATTTTGAGCACAGGTTCATTCTTAAGCTCTAATTCTGTACCGAACGCTGTTTTTTTTTGTTTTGTTTTTTTAAATAAGAACATAAATACTAAAGTACTTTGGATTATTAATCTGTTCTTTCCTATTACATCAATGCACACACACACACACACATATATATATATATATATATATATATATATATATATATATATATATATATATATCCTGTAATCGAAAACATTTCACTGTGACATAAGAACTCTATATAA